TTTAAGATCCAGCTGTAGGGGGCGTCCCATTTTTCGTATTCCCACCATGCATTTCGGTGGAACACAGCGGAACACTTTTTTTGTGTGGAGAACTCTATCTTGTATTTCTAGTATCTTTGACGTAAATCAATCGCAGATGGCCGGGGGTGGATCCACTGTTTTAAGTGCCATTTTAGAGGTCAGTGTCGTGTGGTCTGAGAGGCCTTGAACTGACGTTTTCAGAGAGAACGCTAACAAATTTGATTATGAACCCAACTGGACACCGTCATTACAGTATTGGCCATTGTGCTTCAAGTTGGTGTTGGATGATGACCGTTTGCTCATGGCGTCTGTGGACGCATTTTGGACGTTTTTGACCTTCGTCATATTCGCTATTCTCTCAGGTGAGCCATTTGTCTTTTGTAATCGTGGTAGGCCTAGGCTGATTGACCCATCTATTTTTTTTTTCTCCTCATGACTTGAGGGTTTCAGAGGAATTTTTGTACAAACCGTTGGCAATCAGAACCTGGGCCCAGGCCTAGCCTAGGCTCTACCTAGGATATTTCTCGGCCTACCTAGTTGTTTTCCTGGAGAAAAAAAGGGCCGAATTTTCGTTGGCCGAGACTATTTTAATACTTAAAAGTTAGTAAAACAATCTGATTTTGCCTGGTTATTTTAGTTTAGGCTAGGGCCTAGGCCTAGACCTATAATACCAACTCAGAACTGCCAGCATAAATACCAATCAATAACAAATAATATGTAACAACGAACTGTAAATTCTGTGGCCAGTCATATAGAATGGGATGTATTATATAAGCCTAGCCTAGGCTATGCCTAATGTGACGTTTTAAACGCATGAGGGTAATTTCCGATCACAGTCATTACAGTTATTTCGAAGTATTTAGCCACAACACAATGCAATAAATGGAATAGATAGACAGTAGGCCCTCTAGGTGCATGGATGGGCCTACCTAGGCCTAGCTAGTCCCAGTCTCAGAGAGAATGTTCACAACTTATTTCTTTGGTCTTTGTAATCTCAATTTATTTGTCTTTTTGAAATGTTTAGTATGACGATCATAACTCCATGTGATGTGAAACAATCTTGAACTTTCAAATTATAGTGTGTATGTTGCCATATTTTGAATGTCAGAATAGGCCAAATATTTAATTGGCCTATTTCACTGAAACTAGTAAAGGAAGTTAGGGATGTTTTATTAACTGGCATTAGTAATTCAGTTTAGGAAATGTTTTTCTTCTTAAAAAAAAATCAAATCATGGCATATTTTTAATTTATTGATTCTACTTTACTGTTGTTATCCAGGTACAATTATATTTGCATATTATTATTTATTAACATTAACAGTATATTTTTCTTCAAATTTTTAAATAGGCTTTACCCAACATATTTTTTGTATAATTTCATTTTTTTAAATTTCTGCTTTTTTTGTTTTGTATTTTGAGTAGACCCTGGCTATGGTAGGCCCGTTTTATGGTTAATATTTATCTACTGTGACTTAATACTGTAATAACTAATATCCAGTATGTTTTTTTTTTCATCAGTATTTTTATGATCCATCCTGTTTCTCAATATTTAATTGTGATATGATAATTAAAAATAATATTAAATACTGATTTTTTTTCTTCTTTTTTAAGGAATTACTCATTCTCAGGAATTAGGCTTTATTCAGGATCCCCAAGATGTAATAATTTCAAAAGGACTTCCTTTTCTCTGGGATTGTATCCCCCACCCTGACTCTAGTGGGGGTCATAGAGAAGTTACGTGGAAGAAAAATGGACAAACAATGATGTTAGACAGTCGGCACAAAATTTTGAGTAATGGGTCTTTATACTTTTCCTCTGTGCGAGGGAAAAAGACTGGATATACAGACGAAGGTCTTTATCAGTGCTGTGTAAATAAAAATGTCAGTGGAATTATTGGGACAGAATGTAGTAAGAAAGCAGCATTAGAAATTGCTGGTAAGTTTTTCATCTCATTTACACTTTTGTCTCAGATTCTTAAAATTAGCTTTTAAGTTTAAAGCATAAGTTAACAGCATACTGTTGACAAGAATTTAATTTTAATCTGGTTTTTGGAAAAACAAATTATTATTCTAATCAGACTAGTAGGTTACAGAATAGTTAATCAATTAGAAACTTTACATTTTATTGAATACTAGTTGAATCTTAGATTGTACAAACAGTGACTTTTGTTAATGATAATATTGAAATTATTTATTTCTTGCTAATTTCCTGTATTGTTTCATTTCAACAACATTTATTTCTTTTATCTTTTCTTAGAAATTTAAACAGTAGAAAATAATTAAATTTAGCAATAATATTGGAATAACTGTACTGTATAAGTAATACCGATTTAACATGTTAAAAATGATAGAAGCAACAGTAAATTCAGTTGAAAAAGATCAATTGAAACATGTGTCGGGCTAGCCAAATAATATAAACAATGACGATAGTAAATTTCAAACAATTAGTATCTTATCCAATTATTAGTTTTTATTATGCTACTAATTTATAATTTTAGTATACATAAAACATGAATTATGGTATGTTCTTTGTTTACTTTTTCTTAAAGTATAATCATCAATGTATTATTTTTAACATTGAATGCAATCTTACTGAAAATAACTCACATTATTTGCAAAAGACTGGAGATCAAGTTTTTTTTTAGGTGGAGGGGGTGGATGCGTCTATACATACGCCACTGTTAATGTTATCAACTTTTAGAAAATGAGATCAAAAATTTAAAAAAATCAATATTTCAAACATTCTTTAAAAGATGTATAGTACTGTATTGTTCCTTGAAAATGACAAAAAAATCATAAAAAGTATTTCTGAAATTAACTTGCTCATTTTGCAGTAAATTATTTACTTTAAATAAAAAATATATACCATGATTTTTAAATTTGATAATTATAGTAAAAATAATAAAATACTTCCAGATACTGGAAGTGTTTATAATAATAATAATAATAATAATAATAATAATAATAATAATAATAATAATAATTTATAATAATAATAATAATAATAATAATAATAATAATAATAATAATAAAATAATAATTCTGGATTTATATAGCGCCTCACGTTGTCACAACCTTGAGGCACTTAGCAACAACAAAGAAGAAAATAAACCAAAAACAAATATACAAATGTTCTATTATTTTTTGCTGTAAAATGATGGGTAAATATTTTTTAATACACTAATTTCTATGTTTTTATAGTTTGATGAAGATTCATCTATCCAGGATATTATATAATATTGTATAGGGTATTGCTAATCATAAAATTTAGTGGAAATTGCCTTTTTTTTATATCCATGTTGCTCGTTCCCATTCTTATCCTTATAAAATTTACTGGTACTGGTACAAATAGCCATCTTTTCAAAGACATTTGGCAGACATTGACTTAAGGTTGTCATTAGAAGGATACTGCTTTTAAAACTAAATAAATTGAAGCGAACCAACAGCAACATTGTCATTATCATAAAGGAGAACTGTATAATGCAGTAAATTAATATGAAATGGGTTAAAATCAATGCAGTTAAAAATGAGGTGGTTGTTACTTGAGTTTTCTTTTGAAGGCATCCCTAATAAAGTTTCCTTTATCTAAGTGGCTTTTCTTCACAACTCTGTCGTGTCAAGAATAGATGGAATTTTCTGCCTCTTCTTTTCAGTGGTGTATCATGGAACGTGCGAATTTTGGTCGGATCATCGTTTTCTTTTCGTATCACATGACCAATCCAGTTATGTTGTTGTGTGTACACATACTGTATTCGTCTAGTGATTGTGTGCGTGTGATTTTGTATAGCTGTTCATTGGAAATTTACATTTTGCCTCTCTTTGGTATACAGTAGCAAACATTTTCTTTTAAATTTAACCAATAAAAAACTATCTAAAAAGACCAAAAATTGCTTATTCTACAGTACAGTATTATTAAGCAGACAATTAAATTTTTGAGTGTTTTGTTAGGTGTTTCCAATTATAATCACATGCAAATAAGTTGGCTATCCACATTTTATTGTATATTTTTTTTCCAATCTACCAAACAACAAAACACTTTATAGGTTGCTATTCATTCATTTTCCAATATTTTGTATTGTACATGCACCCAAGGTTGATCAAGTCACAGAAAAATAAAATAGAATGCAATAAATTGGACCTAAGCTAGGAAAGTCAGATTTAAGACTAAAACATTGCTAGTATTTTACTTCTCATACCGTAATTGTTTATTTGATCAGATGATACTTTTGTTGTTGTTTTTAACTAATAATATAGGCCATAAGCTCATCTCATATAGTATCATGATTTTTGGCTGGTAAAATATAGCCATTTGAATAAAACACATGGTTTCAAATTGAATTATCATGATATTTCCATACATTAAACAGTACTGCTGTACTAAATCGTTTTTTTCTACTGGCTAAGAAAATTCATTTCTTGAAATGGTTCTTTGAAAGAACAGATAAACGGGAGAAACCAATTCTTTTGTTATTGTGCTGAAGATCTGTTTGTTTGGAGAATGAATTCTGTGTCCAGAGGCAAAGAACAATTTAACTTGGGTATAATATTCTAGTAACTGTATTGGAAGTATGATTGCTATCAGTTTCTATGTTGATTTTACAACAGAAGCACTTCCACAGTTTTTTGGGCTTTTGTGGAAAAATAAGTTTTTCCAAAGAAAAAAAATTGCCAACCATAGAATTTTAACAATTTGATTAAGTCAGCTCATGGGCAAACAAACAACGTAAACAAACATTTTTTGGTTGTTTTCTTTTTTTAATGAATAAAAAATATAAGATTTATTGCCAGGTAATACATTAATATGCTGTATAACTGGATGGTCATTATTTTTTTTGTATGCTTTTAATCGTAGCTTCCTCTCTTGAGTGCACTGTTGATGCAAATCAAAAGAAATTACTGGACAATACAGGACAGATGGTCAGCTAATATAACAATGACCATACAATGACTCACAAAGTCTTATCCCATTTTTGGTTTAATGCATACAAATTAGCTGATGACCGATTATAATATCTAAGAATATATGTTGTACTATTGTAGCAGTAAATTGTGTGGTACTGTACATGTATAACGATTTTGTTGTAATGGTTTTTCTTAATTGTAAATCATGGTAGTAAAACAATCAATGAGTGATGGCTTAAATATAAAAGCAAATATTTTATTTTATGTGTACATTTACAGTACAATTGTGAATCTGATATTCATTGTACTAGCATATATTATGTAATTTGTCTCAGAAACAATAAAACGTGATAGGTACTTAGGCAAAGCAATAGAAAACCCAGACAGTAAACCAAATCCAAGCTTTTAAGCATGTTGATACCTAAACAAAGAAAGACTGAACAATCAGATGCATTAATTAAATACAATTTTCTTTTTTGTTTTGAACTTATTTGTTTGATAAGGAATTATATTCTGCTTTGCATGTCTTTGGATTGATAGTAGCGTGCTATTATTAAAAGTTGGCCCTGAGTCAGGGGTCATTATTTACACTTTATGATACTGTAGGTATTGCTGACAAATCACAGTAATCAAGTGCCATATGGATCGTGGTTCATTGAGACTAGTCTTTTTTCCAATATTATAATACTAAATACTATATTTCCCAAAACAAATATAGCCAAATTATCATACAATTCCCATAGTATACAGTAGTAATAGTATTCTGCTTTTTTGGTAGTTGAAAATGACACACACACAAGTTAGGCCTACAGCATTATTTATAATAATTTTGCTTTGAATGTCATCCTGATGGCTCTTTCAAGTGGTACAAGTGTTTACATTAGCGTTTATATCATTGTTGACTATTGCAACTCATTGCTGATTTGTTTTTACCTTTGACCTTTGATATCAAGGACAATTTAGTACTGATTAAGCAGGTTCTGATTTGTTATTTGTTGTCCTTGGCACATTCCACAATAATATGCAATCCCAAGTTCAGTTCTTAGGAAGTCTGCCCTTCCATATTAAACATACTGTAATTTATGTACTGATTAGACACTTAAAATAATACTTAAAAACTTTGGGAAGGAAATTATGATACTTGTTTAATTTAGTAAATAATATAAATAATGTGAGAAAATTCAAAGTAACATCAATAAATGAATGAATTTTACTATTATGAAGATAATGAATGTATTACGATACGATAAAACTGTATTGTCACAACGGTATAAATACAGCTATGATATGAATCCTTAATAAATACAGTCATATTAGTACAAGATGCTAAAACTTGTTATAACAGTGATTCAAAACCTAATATGACAAGCATTACTGAGTTATGACGAAAAGGCAAGATACTGTTCATTATTATGGCTTATGTATTAAACTGCATATTAATCAGAGTACAGTACAGTATGTGAATATATTTTAATTAAAAAAGATAAATATTCATACATTACGTAAAAGCTATAATTTATTATGTCCAAATGAAAAATATCATAAATCGATTTGGAACTACTGTAGTATAACAATTAATTAGTTAATTGACATCAATTAATATACACAAACTAGGTCAATAACAGAACAATGTTTTTGTCCTTCAAACAATGTTCAGCAAGCATGTACGGTCTGTGCATTTTTGTGTTAACTTGTGAATATTGATGGGTACTCTATTAAATGTGCTTGGATTGTTCAGTACTGTACAGTACAAACAAGGTAATTGATCATAAACTCAGCAACAGTACAAGGGACCACAAGGGTAGTGACCTTACTGTGTTACCAAACAACTTAAGATTCACATTAAGCACTAATACTTAATCCATGAGATTAGTCAAGTGGATTTGTTTTTTAACAAGAAATGGTGAATATACGATATGAAATAGATAACCTATGATCCTCATCTATATGAATATTGGCCAACACTGTTACAGGATAAAATCTATTTTTATAATATTAACTACTGTACCATTTCTAGTAAGAACATCTTTCATT